TTTTTTTTTTTTGGAGACGGAGTTTCGCTCTTGTTACCCAGGCTGGAGTGCAATGGCGCGATCTCGGCTCACCGCAACCTCCGCTGGAGCCGTTTTTCTAACAAGCACTCGGGAGCACCTCCCTTCCCACCCTCCTCCAAGCCTGGACCAACAGTTTGTCTTTCTGTTTGGTCTACAGAAAGGATTTTGGGAGACAGCAGGATTCTAGGTGGAAGAAACTTTTTATTTGGCAGACAATCTGAGGGGACGAGGGGACAGGGATGGGGGAAACTAATGAGCCAGACCGGGATGGAGTCCTTTGGGTAGCTCTAGCAGCTCTCAACTCCTCAAGTCCAAGGCCGCTGGCGGGAGGAGGGGTGTCATCCCTGCTCCTCCTGGCTCAGGCTGCTAGGAAGCTATTCCCTGAGCAACCAGTTCCTCTGCTGGCCCCTTCTTCCATGACCTCTGACTGGGCATCCAACTCTCAGACCAGGTTATTTATAGTTAAGCCCAGAGGAGGTGGGGGAAAGGCCAGTGTTTACAAACATGGGTTACCTGAGTCTGAGCGGTCTGGGGGAGGGGCGAGCCTGGACCCGGTGGATCAGCGACCAAGGGTTCTGAATGCCGCTGAAGGCGAAGGGGGAGAGGGCGCAGAGCAGGGAGGGAGTGGGCGCTGCTCAGATGCTGGAGCACGTGGCCCAGGGTGTGGGCCATATGCAAACTGTATGCAAATACGAGTGCTCGAAGGGTGACCTCTCAGCTGGCGGGATCCCCGTGGGGCCCCCTGGCCTGTTGGTCTGGGGGCCAGAGGACGGCCCGGTAGGGCCCACCTGAGGGAGAAGCCCAGTCTCACAAGTTCCCTCCCGCTCGCTCACAGCCAGAGGGTCCCGCAGAAAGACCTCGCCGTCCTTGGGAAGGGGAGTTGGCCTCAGCCCCCGCCCCGCCGCCCCCGCCTCCTCCCCCGCGTGCGGCGCGGCAACTGGGTGTCCGGTTACCGCGCGGGGGCTATAGTTAGCCCCGGGAACCTCGCTTTCAGCCGGACCCTGGGACTGCACAGCGCCCGCCCGAGCCCTTGGGGCTCCCTCCGGCTCGCGGCCTCCGCAACCCGCAGGTGGGTCCTCGGCCCCCGGCCCTCCCCTCTCGGGCGGAGACAAACTGCGGCCCCGCCTTTACCGTCTCAGAAAGGTCCTGGACGCGAGGCTCTGAGGAAGGGGCTTCGCGAGTTGGGAGCGAAGACTCGGGGCGGGGGAACAGTAAACTCCGAGACCCTCTCCGAGACCCCCAACTCCCTTTCCCAAGGACGGCGAGGTCTTTCTGCGGGACCCTCTGGCTGTGAGCGAGCGGGAGGGAACTTGTGAGACTGGGCTTCTCCCTCAGGTGGGCCCTACCGGGCCGTCCTCTGGCCCCCAGACCAACAGGCCAGGGGGCCCCGCGGGGAACCCGCCAGCTGAGAGGTCACGACCCGCCGGGGCCCCAGTCCTGGACCAGGGACCCCGCGAGCCTGGAGCCCCTCGAAGCCAGGACTCCAGCGCCGGTGGTCCCGCCCTCACTCGGACCTGGCCCTCACCTCTCCCCTAGGGATGGCGCTGGCGGGTCTGCTGATCGCCCTGGGCTGCCTCGGCCTCCATGCCTTCTGGCAGGTAACTCCAGCAACCATTTCCTGTCCCCATGGGGGACATTGCGGGACAGACCTTGAGGAAGTGGACTGGGGGCTGACTCCTCACAACCCTCTCCAAGGGACTCTTCCCTAGGATTCCACTGTTAACTCTCTGCCTCTCAGAAACCTCCATCTCTGCAGGGAGCTCCAGGTTCCCATTCTGTCTCCTGGCACCCCCGCCTCCATCCCTCCCTGGATGCCTCCAACATTCTCCTCCCCACCTCTCATCTCCCAGCGCAGGCACAGCCCGGGCAAGCCTCCTTGGGCTACCTGTGTGCTTCAGCCCTGGCAGCTTCTCCTGACCAAGGCTTGGCCTCCCCACCTTCCCTACCCCAAATGTGGGTATAGAGCAGGGGAGGACTCAGGTGTCACAGAGCTGACAGCGATTTGGTGTGGTGGCTGAGCACCTGCAAGCGCCTCCTTCAGGGTGAGCGGGAAAGAGAGCCTGAGGAGAATGCGGCTGAGGGTCAGGTAGCTGGACACTGGCTGTGTGTAATATTTGCAGATCGCCTGCGTGCCAGATCTTACAGCCAGAAAAGTGCTTGGCAGTCATCTAGTCCCACCTCCCACCTCCCACCGACTGCAGGAACCTTTGTAATGACAGGATGACCCCTTTTAGGTTGTACAGAAGTGAAGCTTTTTATGCTTTCTTCATAATAACTGTGAGGCTGGAAGTATCCTCAAGTTCAGAAAAGTTATAACACTTGCCCAAGACCTCACAGCGAATAGGTGGTAAAGTCAAGATTTCAGGCTAGGCGCAGTGGTTCACGCCTGTAATCCCAGCACTTTGGGAGACTGAGGTGGGAGGATCACTTGAGGTCAGGAGTTTGAGACCAGCCTGGCCAAAATGGTGAAACACCATTTCTACTAAAAATACAAAAATTAGGCCGGCACAGTGGCTCATGCCTGTAATCCCAGCACTTTAGGAGACTGAGGTTGGTGGATCACTTGAGGTCAGAAGTTCAAGACCAGTCTGGCCAACAGGGTGAAACTCTGTCTCTACTAAATATACAGAAAAGTAGCTGGGTGTGGCAGCACGTGCCTGTAATCCCAGCTACTTGGGAGGCTGAGACAGGAGAATCACTTGAACCCAGTAAGCAGAGGTTGCAGTGAGCTGAGATCGTGCCTTTTCACTCCAGCCTGGGCAACAGACTGAGACTTCATCTCAAAAAAAAAAAAAAAAAAAAAAATTAGCCAGGCATGGTGGTATGCACAGGTAATCCCAGTTACTTGGAAGGCTGAGGCAGGAGAATAAGTCCAACTTGGGAGGCTGAGGCTGGAGTGAGCAGAGATCTCACCACTGCATTCCAGCCTTGGCGACAGAGCAAGACTCTCTCTCTCAAAAAAAAAAAGATTTTAGCCAATGTCTGTTTGACTTCGGTGCCTGTGTTATTTAAGCCTTTTTTGGGACCTTGCCAAATTGCATACACCGATATTTGGGGATAGAAATGAGATTCTGTGTTTCTGGATGGGTCTGTCACCAGTACCCCTGTCCAGTGCTCTGAACTCATGCTTTTTTCTGTGTGGCACCTCTCTTCCTTCCTACACAGGCCCAGGCTGTTCCCATCCTGCCCCTGGGCCTGGCTCCAGACACCTTTGACGATGCCTATGTGGGTTGTGCAGAGGAGATGGAGAAGGAGGCAGCTCCCTTGCTGAAGGAGGAAATGGCCCACCATGCCCTGCTGCGGGAATCCTGGGAGGCAGCCCAGGCAGCCTGGGAGCACAGGCAACGAGGGCTCACCTTGCCTCCCGGCTTCAAAGCCCATCATGGAATAGCCATTATGGTCTACACCAACTCATCTAATACCTTGTACTGGGAGTTGAATCAGGCCGTGCGGACGGGCGGAGGCTCCCGGGAGCTCTACATGAGGCACTTTCCCTTCAAGGCCCTGCATTTCTACCTGATCCGGGCTCTGCAGCTGCTTCGAGGCGATGGGGGCTGCAGCAGGGGGCCTGGGGAGGTGGTGTTCCGAGGTGTGGGCAGCCTTCGCTTTGAACCTAAGAGGCTGGGGGACTCTGTCCGCTTAGGCCAGTTTGCCTCCAGCTCCCTGGATAAGGCAGTGGCCCGCAGATTCGGTAATGCCACCCTCTTCTCTCTAATGACTTGCTTTGGGGCCCCTATCCAGGCCTTGTCTGTCTTTCCCAAGGAGCGTGAGGTGTTGATTCCCCCGCATGAAGTCTTCTTGGTCACCAGATTCTCCCAGGATGGAGCCCAGAGCCTGGTGACTCTGTGGAGCTATAATCAGACCTGTAGCCACTTTAACTGCGCCTATCTGGGTGGTGAGCTGTGCATGGGGGAAGCAGGACCGGCAGGGTGGGTGAAATAAGCCAGGATGTCCCTTCACAATAATCCTTGGGGCCTTTGGGAGACCCACTTGGTGAAAGGGGAATTGAGGGCTGGAAGTCAGCTGGAGTTACTGTCCTCTGTGACGCAAGTTTTTTGGATCCTATAAAGTGTTTTCCAGATTTGTGAATAGTCTCAGATGATTCTGTATGTTCTCAAAAGGGTCCATCTGCTACAGTCTAATAGACCAAAAGAACCTGGTTAAGGAGATTAGCAAGCAGCAGAAAGAGCCAGGGGACTGCTTCAGATCTCAGGAGGCCCTGGGCTTGATGGGCCTGACAGGGGACTTACGTGCCATTCCCAAGTGCTGAGGCAGGGACAGATGGAGGAGTGGCTGGGTCTTGGGTGGGAAGAGAGATGGAAAGTCAATCTGGAAAGACTTCCTGGAGGAAGGAGGAGGAAGGGAAGTCACAAGTTTACCTTTAGGTGAAGGGAAAGGTAGATTGAGAGGGGAAATGGCCCTGCAAGGGCCTGGTGGGCCAGGTAGTTTGGGTGTGAGTCTGCCAGCACGGAGGCCTCACCCTGCTGTCTGTTGCAGGGGACAAGAGGCGGGGCTGTGTGTCTGCACCAGGTGAGTTCCTCTTCCATCCTCCCTCAGCTGCTTTGACTCCCGCTCGCCCTGCCGACCCCTTCCTCTTCTCCCTCCAGCAGCGGTGCAGCCAGAGTCACAATCTGAGGGGGCCTTCTCTCTGCCTCCCTGGAAGACCCTGTCTTTGGCCCCTGGGGAGTTCCAGCTCTCAGGGGTTGGGCCCTGAAAGTGCAAAACCTGCCACTTAGGAGCCCTGGGAACAGGTGACTTTCATATGAAGAAGAGGCGCCTCCAGCAGCCTGTAGAAGCAAGAACATGGTTCTGGATCCCGTCCTAGCAGCCTTCTCCCCAACCAGGATGTGGGGCTGGGGAGGCCACGGCAGGGCTGAGGGAACTCTGCTATGTGGTGGGGACTTCCTGGGATAAGCAAGGGAAGTACTGAGGCAGCCACTTGCTTAAGTGGTGTTGCAGTGTGGAGACATGGAGTTTTATGAGGCAGCCACTTGATTAAACAGTATTGCAGTGTGGAGACATGGAATTTTATGACTGGCTTCTTCTTTGAGACTGCTTCACTCTGGCCTTGCTAGGCTGAGGGACTGACTGAGGGACTAAGAAAACTCACTTCTTGGTCACTTGTAGACACAGTCTCCTCTGCAGACCCATGTCACACACTCTAACTTGCAGATCCAGAAGCTTAAACAGCTAGAGGGTCCTCATGACAACCATGGAAGCAGGAAAGCAGGCAGGTGATTCCTCAGCCCCACTTGTCAGGTGAGGAATACATAGCCAAGGAAGGAAGCAATTGGTCAGAGGGTTGCCATTGAACCCCGGCCTCCTGCTTCCCCGGCCTCCTGCCTCCTGGTCCAGAGATCCTGGTCCATGAAAGATCTGAGGAAGCTCAAAGTAGGATCCTAAGCCCAAGAGCACATTTCTCTGCCCTGTTCCCACAAGGGTCCATTTCAGGGGAAAGAAGCAGGAGGACCTCAAAACATCAAGAGACAGAGATTCTCACATAGCCCAGAGGCCTCGCACATCCAGAACAGAAACTTTATTGAAGCAAGGAAAGCAGCACAGCCTCCTCCCAAGGGGCCCCCACCCTCACCCTCCTAGGCTACTGCCCTCAGCAACAGAAGGGACCCTTCCGCTGTATCAGATCCTCCCCTCCATCCCTGAATTCTCCGCGTGGGGCAGGTCCTCAGCCCCCTCTGTTTCCTGCTGCCTGTGCACTAGCACATGAGCTGGGGAGCTGGGGCCAGACTCTCCAGAAGCCAGAGTCCTCACCTCTCCAGTGTCCTGAAGCCCGGCTCCTGATGATTCCTGGGTCCCCACAATCCTGGGCCCTGTCAGCTCTGGGGTCTCAGGAATGGGGGGCCCCAGGTTTTGGAAACTGTTGCGCACTCGGGTGATATAGCGACTGAGGACACTGGCACCGTCGGGAGGCCGGGGTGTTCCTCCCTCTGCCAGAGTCCGCCTCACACCGGCTACCTCGCTCTGTAGTCGAGATACGGTCTTCGTCAGCTCTGTGAGTCTGTTGCCCAGGTCTGGAGGAGGTGGAGTACCGAGGGGCATTTCAGAGGATGAGCCTGCCCTGTACCCCTTTTACCCTTTACAAAACCCCAGGAGTTGTCCTATCTGGGGTTTCTGAGGGAGAACTGGAAGACGTGAAGATCAGGCTTGTGGGCTAGGGGTCAGATGGGTGGGTGAAGCTGGGGCAGGTGAATCCTAGTGGGGGTGGGAGCGAGGAGCTGGAAAGAAGGAAAGTTGGGGGGCCAGAGAAGGGTGACGAGCCATGGGGAAAGCTGTTACTGGGTAGAGACTCCTGCGTCCACCCGCCTGCCCTCTCCCCAGTCACGGCCAGCCAGCTCACACCCATTCTTCAGGGCCCCGTTCGGATCCCGGCCCCTTTATCTATTCTGCTGCTCCTTCTGCCTCTCAAAATGACAAGCTCCTTCTTCCTTCGGGCACCCGTAGCAATTCGCATCTCTCTTAGCTGCACTTCATGCCCAGTGTGACGGTTTCTCTTCCTCACTAGACTGAAAGCTTCCCATGTGTCCCTGCTCTACAGTGCCCCATTTGTCCCTCCAAGACAGGGCCTGGAACGAAGGAGGCCGAAGCGATGAATGTTGGTGGTATGAGTCAGTAAATGAGTGAGTGAATGAAGGCGGTGAATGAGTGACTGGGTAAGGGACTGAATGGGAGAATAACTGAACACACACGAAGGCAGGAAGGAGCACTTAAATGAAATGAGTGAAATCAATGCCGAATGGGTCAGAGGGTAATGGAGTGCAAGGGGCCACTCTGTGCAGGCTGCCCTTCCAAGGGCAGGGCAGGATGGGGCCACATATTATGCAGGCTGAATGCGGACCTGACTCTGGTATGGGGCCTTTATCCCAGCTGAGGAAGGAACAGGAATGGGGAGAGCTTAGAAGAGGGTGACGCACCTTTCTGCCGGGTCTCCTCAAACTCGCGCCGGGCAGTCTCTATGTAGCGTTGTACCAGGGCCTTGATGATGCGAAGGTGGTAGGATCCACGCTCTCCCTCCCCAGGCATGGCCCCTGCCCCGGGATTGGCCTGGAATGGGAAGACAGGAGGGTGAGAGAGATTCTCTCCAGCCTTCTTCTGATCACTGTCCGTGCTTCTCCAGCCCTGGGCAAAAAAGGCCCAGGGCAAAGTCTTCCATGTAGACTTTTCTGTCCCTGACCCGCCTAGCCCCTGGCCTCCATCTCACAGTGCAGACCTGGAAGGTAGAAGGACAGGGGCCAGAAGCTGGGGAAGGGCTGATGGTGAGAGAACCAGGAAGTGATGGGTGAGGGCTGGGAGGCCGATGAGGAGGAGGGGAGAACCCCCTACAGACCTGCAGTGCCTGAATTAGGAAGGCACCCTCATGCCAGGCCAGACGGGGCTGGAGAGTAGACCTCGAGGGGCAAGTGAGCTCCTTGGATGTCCGACCTCCTGGCCTCCTCTCTTAGGCCACTGTCAGCTGTCTAACTGCTCAGTTTGTGGGACATTTACCTGTGGGACATGTTACTTTCTTAACATGTGTTTTTGAAAAATGTCCAACTCTGTCTTGGAGCAGTTTAGGACAAAAAAGGTCTGTCTGGAGCTTAGTGGGTATTTCTAGCTTGGGAGGAGGGTGGCAAGGACTTCTGTTTAGGCTGCATGACACAGGGTTGGAAATTTAGGAAATGGCCAGAGCCAGGAAGAGGGAAAGGGAAGCCATGTGCGAGAGTAGGAATTGGGACAGGCTTTCTGGAGAACATACCTGGAAACATAGATAAGCCTGGGATATGCAGACAAATTGATGGTATAGACATAGAGTTGAAGGCCTGATGCCAGGGTGACCAGCAACAGGCTGAGTAGGTACTCACAAAGGTAGGGATGGGGGGATTGTCTGGCTTCTTGGTGTTGCAGCAGGAACAGCAACAGCAAATGAACTGGCAAATTATCCTGAGAGATTTCAATGGTGGGAAGAGGTCGGTTAGAGGACAGGACCTAGGGAAATGGGGGCAGGGCCTGGGGACTTGGGGGTGGGAGTGGGAGCTCTGAGGTCAGCACCTGAGAAGGTAGAAGACAGCCTTTGGGGAGGGCAGGATGTTGAAAGGCACAGGCAGCGTCAGGCCCTCTCGGAAGTAGGACAGATAGAGCTTGGAGCGCGCGAACTTCCACTCCACATCAGCATCATCCTGGGGGCCGGGCAGCAGGGGGCGGTGCAAGGACCCCTTTGGCACATGACCCTCCTGCCCACTCAATCTGCCTCTCTTTTCTCCAGTCCTCACAGTTTTGATTCTCCAGTGTAGTGTGCCAGGCTCTTTCTTCTCCCCAGTCTTATCTCCGACCTCCCCTATCACCCGCATTTCTCTGGCCTGTCCCCCGCTTCCTGTCTCCCCACCACTGTCTTTCATCTTTCTGACATCCAGTTCCTGCCCAGCCTGTTCTCCAGCCTGCAGACCCTAACCTATCGTCTCCCTCTCATGTTCCCGTTTACTTTTCTACAACACCACTCCTCTGCCCAACCCTAAAGGGGAATGAGCACTAGACTTTGTGTCTGGAGATACTAACAGCATCACTAAGACCCTCATTTTACAGAGGAACACTTGTCTAAAGCCACAAACGACAGCAGTGGAGGCAGAGCATGACATCAATGTCTTGCCTCTTTGCATCCTGTTCCTCTCCATTCCTTTCTCCCTTCTCCCTGGCCTAAATTGGCCTCCATTTACGCACCTCAATCTTCTGGAAGGAGTTGGTGATCATAGCAATGAGCATGTTGAGCAGCACAATGACCATGACGATGGTGAAGATGCCATAGAGGGCCCGGCCCACAAATTCGGGCACCAGAAACTGAGGCATGTCCACCACGCTGTGCTCCTCCATGCCGAACATGGTCCAGAACAGAAACTGGAATGTCTCATTGAAACTGGCATATTGGGCCAAGTAAGGAACAGGAAATGAGGGGTGGGAGAAGAGCCTGAGCTCACCCAGACACACTCCCCTCTACCCCCCAGGACCTGGCCAAGAGCGCCCACTTCTTTTTTTTTTTTTTTTTTTTTTTTTTTTTTTGAGGCGGAGTTTCACTCATGTTACCCAGGCTGGAGTGCAATGGCGCGATCTCGGCTCACCGCAACCTCCGCCTCCTGGGTTCAGGCAATTCTCCTGCCTCAGCCTCCTGAGTAGCTGGGATTACAGGCACGCGCCACCATGCCCAGCTGATTTTTTGTATTTTTAGTAGAGACGGGGTTTCACCATGTTGACCAGGGTGGTCTCGATCTCTTGACCTCGTGATCCACCCGCCTCGGCCTCCCAGAGTGCTGGGATTACAGGCTTGAGCCACCGCGCCCGGCAAGAGCGCCCACTTCTATGCAGCCCTTTAGACCACCTCAGCTGGTATAGATACTTGCTGTTTCTGAGCTCCAAATGTTATCCTTTGCACCAGTATTTACTGAGTGCACAGTAGTGTCACAGGTGCTAAGGATACGTCAGTGGACAAGACAAGCATGTTCCTGTCTTCATGGCCTTATGTTCTGGGGTGGGGCCAGGATGGGATGGACACTACTTATACCAACAATTTTAAATTGTGGCAGGGTGTGGTGGCTCACACCTGTAATCCTAGCATTTTGGGAGGCTGAGGTGGGCAGATTGCTTGAGCCCAAGAGTTGGAGACCAATCTAGGCATTTTGGGTGTTAAATTTTTTGAGTGTGATAATGCTTTTGTGGTTATGTTCTTAGGAGACATCCTGAACTGTTTAGAGATGAAGTGTCATGATAGTCACAACTTCCTTTTAAGTATTTCAGGAAAAAAAGGAATAAAGGGAGCAATAGATCAAGCAAGTGTGGTAAAAGGTTAACAATTGGTGAAGCTAGGTGAAGGGTGTAGGGGCATCTACTTTTCATAGAATTGACATTTTTCAAAATAAAAAGTTTGGGGAGAAAATCAGAAAATGAATGTATAAATGAACAAATGAATGAGTGACAGTGAATCAAAGAGGGAATGAGCAAACAAGAGAATTCATTGAGTGAATAAATGAGGGAGGGAGGGACAAA